CACGAAGCGTTGCGTCTCTTCCAGGATCGACTTGTAACTGAGGAAGAAAGAAGCTGGACTGCGGACGCGGTGCGCCGTATCGCGCTCGACAACTTCCCCACAATCGACGAAGAGCAAGCGCTGAAGGGCCCGATTTTGTTCTCCAACTGGCTCTCCAAGAACTATGTTCCAGTTGAGCAAGAGCGCCTGCGTGACTTTGTTAAGGCACGTCTCAAGACATTCTGTGAGGAAGAAGTTGACGTGCCTCTCGTTTTGTTCAATGACGTCCTGGAGCATGCCTTGCGCATTGACCGAGTGTTCCGTCAGCCTCAGGGCCATCTCATTCTCATCGGTGTCAGTGGTAGTGGTAAGACCACACTCTCACGTTTTGTTGCGTGGATGAATGGTTTGAAGGTGTTTCAAATCAAGGTGCATGGAAAGTACTCTTCTGAAGATTTTGACGATGACCTTCGGACTGTTCTTCGCCGCGCAGGTTGCAGGGGTGAGAAGATCTGTTTCATCATGGACGAAGCAAACGTCCTCGACTCGGGTTTCCTCGAACGTATGAACACTCTTCTTGCCAACGCCGAGGTTCCGGGTCTCTTCGAGGGTGATGAATTCTCCTCCTTGATGACAGCCTGTAAGGAGGGTGCACAGCGGCAAGGTCTTCTTCTCGACAGCCAGGAAGAATTGTACAAGTGGTTCACGCAGCAGATCGTCAAGAACCTTCACGTCGTGTTTACCATGAACCCGCCAGAGGAAGGATTGTCGTCCAAAGCTGCAACAAGTCCCGCGCTGTTCAACAGATGCGTTCTCAACTGGATGGGCGACTGGTCGGACCAGGCTCTCTTCCAAGTTGGTTCTGAACTCACGCAGTCGGTCGACTTAGACAAGCCCAACTTTGTTGCCCCGGACAGCATTCCTGTTGCTTATCGCGAGCTCAGCCTACCTGCCTCTCATCGGGATGCGGTTGTCAACTCTATGGTGTTCATCCACTACTCGCTGCAACGATTCAACCAGCGCTTGCAGAAGCAGCAAGATCGGACTACGTATCTGACTCCTCGCCACTACCTCGATTTCGTCGCCCAATACGTCAAACTTTTCAATGAGAAGCGAGAGGACCTCGAGGAGCAGCAAAGACATTTGAACGTTGGACTTGAGAAGTTGCGCGATACGGTCGACAAGGTTCGCGATCTTCGAGCCAGTCTTGCCCAGAAGAAGACGCAGCTAGAGAAGAAAGACACGGAAGCCAACGAAAAGCTGCAGCGTATGGTTGCCGATCAACGAGAGGCCGAGCAGCGTAAGACTGTTTCTCTCGAAGTCCAAGCAGCCTTAGAGAAACAGGAGAAAGAGGTTGCACTCCGGAAAGAGGTCGTCCTGAACGACCTTGCTCGAGCCGAACCGGCCGTCTTGGAGGCTCAGAAGAGTGTCAGCAATATCAAGCGTCAGCATTTGACGGAAGTCCGTTCCATGGGCAACCCCCCTGCCAGTGTTCGGCTTGCTCTGGAAGCTGTCTGCGCTCTGCTGGGCCACCGTCCCGATAGCTGGAAGACCATCCAGGGAATCATCCGCAAAGATGACTTCATCGCAAGCATTGTGAACTACGACAATGAGAAGCAGATGACGAAGCAGCTCCGGGTGAAGATGCAAGCTGAATTCCTTTCCAAGGAGGACTTCACCTACGAGAGAGTGAACCGCGCTAGTAAGGCTTGTGGTCCTTTGGTGCAGTGGGTCGAAGCACAGGTCAATTATTCCGAGATCTTGGACCGTGTTGGGCCCCTCCGTGAGGAAGTCGATCAGCTGGAGGAACAGGCTCTTCAGACCAAAGCTGAGGCCCAGACTATCGACAAGACTATCAAAGACCTTGAGAGCAGTATCGCCACCTACAAGGAGGAATACGCGGCACTCATATCCGAGACCCAGGCTATCAAGGCGGAAATGGAACGAGTGCAATTCAAGGTCGACCGCAGTGTTCGTTTGCTGGACAGTCTCTCGTCGGAACGCATTAGATGGGAGGAGGGAAGCAAATCGTTCGAGACGCAGATCAGCACGCTGGTTGGTGATGTGCTCATCGCAGCAGCCTTCCTTGCCTATGCTGGTTTCTACGATCAACAGTTCCGCAAAGCCATGATCGACGAGTGGGTCAATCAGCTGCAGCAGTCGGGCATCGGCTTCAAGCCACACAACCCCATCACCGAGTACCTGTCGAATGCCGACGAGCGCCTGACGTGGCAGGATCACTCGCTGCCCGTTGACGACCTTTGCACGGAGAACGCCATCATTCTCAAGCGCTACAACAGATATCCCCTCATCATTGACCCGTCTGGTCGTGTTACGGAGTTCTTGGAGAAAGAAAGCACGGATAGAAAACTCACTGTTACGAGCTTCCTGGACGATTCCTTTGTCAAGCAATTGGAAAGTGCTCTGCGTTTCGGCAATCCCATTCTCATTCAGGACGCCGAGCACCTGGATCCCATTCTGAACCATGTCCTCAATAAGGAGTACCAGAAGACTGGAGGCCGTGTGCTTATCCAACTTGGCAAGCAAGAAATTGATTTCTCTCCTTCGTTCAAATTGTTCCTCTCCACAAGAGATCCGTCTGCCTCGTTCCCACCGGATGTTTGCAGTCGAACAACCTTTGTCAATTTCACTGTCACGCAGAGCAGCTTGCAGACGCAGTCTCTGAACGAAGTTCTGAAGTTTGAGCGCCCTGACGTTGATGCCCGGCGTACCGATCTGGTCAAATTGCAGGGAGAATTCAAGATCCATCTTCGTCAACTCGAAAAGCGACTTCTGCAGGCGCTCAATGAGTCTCGCGGCAATATCCTGGACGATGACAACGTTATCGAGACGCTCGAGACATTGAAGAAGGAGGCGGCTGAGATTTCTAAGAAGATGCTGGAGACCGAAGGCGTCATGACAGAGGTTGAGAACATCACCCTCAACTACAGCATCATTGCTCGCTCTTGCAGTGCTGTCTTTGCCGTTCTGGAGCAGCTTCACCATATCAACCATTTCTACCAGTTCTCCCTGCAGTTCTTTGTTGATATCTTCAACTCTGTCTTGTATCAGAACAAGCGTCTTGCTCAGGAGAAGGACCATGCTGCGCGAGTCCAGATCATCCTTCGGGACCTGTTCGTTACGACCTATCAGCGTACCTCGCTTGGGTTGATCCAGAAAGACCGGATCACATTGGCTATGCTCCTTGCTCAGGCTGCGCCCTACCCGATGGACAAGAGCCTGATCGATATGATCCTTGATGAGTCGCTGGAGGGTGTGGATCTTTCTACAGCGACTGAGCGCAAGGACGAGGTGCTCAACAAGATTTCCAACATGTCTATCTTCAAGTCGACCTTCCCCGGCATTTCCCCTGAGCAATGGGACCAGTTCCTTGGTGAAGAGCTGGCGGAGAACTTCATCCCTGCTTTGTGGGATGACAACATGGAGAACCTGGACAAGCTGCTTCGGTCACTGTTGCTGGTGAAGCTCTGCCGCATGGACAGATTTGTTCCCACTGCGGAGCGCTTCATTGAGGCTGTCTTTGGTCGGGAACTATTCGAGGGAAGCACGGATCTGAAAGACATTGTCGAGCAAGTTAACGCCACCACGCCCATTTCCCTGAGCTCGAGCCCTGGCTTCGACGCGAGCTACAAGGTCGACGCTCTTGTCGAGCGGATGGACGCTACCTGCGCGAACATTGCCATGGGATCGAACGAAGGTCTGCAGAGCGCCGACAAAGCGATCAGCAACGCGGCGGCAGCCGGCACCTGGGTCCAAGTCAAGAACGTCCACCTGGCGCCGTCCTGGCTGCAGAGCCTGGAGAAACGCCTGGAGTCGCTCAAGCCGCACAGGGATTTCCGACTCTTCCTGTCCATGGAATCCAGTCCCAAGATTCCCGTCAATCTTCTGCGTGCCTCGCGCGTTCTGATGTACGAGCAGCCCGCCGGTGTCCGCGCCAACATGAAGGACTCGTTATCCTCGTTGACTACCCGAGCCTCCAAGGCGCCGGTCGAGAAGGCTCGTGTCTATCTGCTCCTGTGCTTCCTGCATGCCGTCGTGCAAGAACGACTCCGCTATGCGCCGAATCTGGGATGGAAGGGATTCTGGGAGTTCAACGACAGCGACGTAAGTTTTTTTTTGCCGAAGTTCCTCCCGCTCCCACGCTAATCCTGTACAGTACGAATGCTCCGCACACATCATCGACTACTGGGTCGACACCGTGGCCCAGGGCCGCTCCAACGTCGCCCCGCAGAAGCTCCCCTGGGAGATGATCCGCACCCTGGTGACGGAGACGTACGGCGGCAAGGTCGACGACCAAGGGGACTTCGCGCAGCTGGAGGCGCTGGTGACCAGCCTCCTCACCCCGGCCGCCTTCGAGGACGAGCACAAGATTGTCGCCGGGGTGGGCGATAGTCCCAGCGACAGCTTGACGTTGCCCGGCGGCACCAGCGTCCGCGACTTCGTTGACTGGGTCAACAAGCTCCCCGAGCGCGAGCCGCCGACCTACCTGGGTCTGCCGGCAAACGCGGAGAAGCTGCTGCTGGTGGGCCACGGCCGCAAGATGATCTCCGATCTTGCGAAGGTGACGACTTTGTTGGATGAGGGGGAGCAGTTGATGATTGAGTCTGCTTAGTTTGGGGCGGGGGAGTGGTTGGGGGGACACCCTAGAAGTAGTGACAAATGGGGAAGGGGATTTGATTGTGTTTGTTTGACTTACTCTGCTCTGTGAGGGAGTAGTCTGGTCTGTTCTATTCTTGTCTTCTTACTTTACTTGTTTAGTGGACTAGGGTACCCTAGAGGCGGGGTAAATAGGTCGGTATCGAGTGGGTTGGTTGTATTTTGGACTTGTACGGATTACTATATTGTATGGTTCAGAGTATTTGTGGTCTAGACGAACGTGTACGAAATATTATATTGTATGCTTAGGAAAGATGTGGTCTAGATAATGATTAGTTGCGTAGGTTGCAGCCTACCCACCAACAGTAGCATTTACCATGGAGGAATTCAGTGTATGGTCAAGCCGGACTACCATTCGTCTCACTATCACCAGTTGACTGCAAGATGTTGCATCGACAAATAACAACACAGGATCACTCCCAGAGAAACAGCCATCCGATCAATCCCTCATCCCCGTGATCCTCCAGAAGTAAAGCCACCAACCCATTCAATGTAACCAGGTACAGATACATGCCATCACCATCATTCCATCATTTCACAGACCAGACAAAGTCACCCCACCAGAAGGCCGATTGTTCAACACAACACACCACCAAGCACCGCTGCACCGCTGCACCGCACCGCACCGCACCGCACCGCACCGCACCGGACAAACCGAACCAACCCAACCCAAACCAAATCCAAACCAGCCCAAGCCCTGCACCGCACAGCAAAGCAAACAACCAACCAACCAACCCCACCTCCCACATGCCCCGAGATAGAATAACCCCAGAATAATGACAGGAACGTAATCAAGACCGTAGACCAAGCTATGATGAACCCTAGCTCTCCAGGTTCAAAACACAATATCCCGCGGTAGTTTAGGGATTCAAATCCAGGGTGTTCACTTCAAAGAGAAGGTATCGGATGGTTTCTGAGGGTATGGATGAGGGTATGTATGTATCCACCGCACAAGTTGGGTGAAGGCAAGAGTAATTCGGTCTTTAAGCCAGGTACTGTGCTGTATGTGCAATTGAGTGAATAGCAGGAGCTCTAAGCGTAAGGGCGAGGCGATTTGTTTCGGTTTTCGAGGGGAGATGCCGCCGGGGGGGGGGGAGGGGCGCTACTGGAACCCGTATATCGGGCTGCCCATCTTTTTCTCGTTGTTAGTTGGCTCTGTTATGGGTTCGAGTCTGATGGGGTTGGGATGGGCATGGGGATGGGCATTGGATCGGGGTGGGAAGCGGGGTGGGGAGGTTGGGGTTGGAAGGGTGGTTGCTCACCTGATTGAGCACGAAAGTCACCTATATAGTATAATATATCAGTTAGCGGTGTTAGTTTCCTCATCCCGGGGTTCGCTGTCTGATTGGGTCGGTTTGCCAGTTGTGCTGAAAACAGTCGGGATGCTGCATTATCTTGTAGAAGGGGAGAGTCGAGGGAAATGGGGACAGGGGACAGGGGACAGGGACGTACGTCTCTGGTTGTCACGACCTATTATCCAGTACTTTTGTTAGTGGATGTGGGTGGACTGTATGCTTCGAGTATCTGATTCAAGGGAAGATAGATAGAACCAAGACTTGGGGGTAGATATGGGTGATACAGAGGACAGTGCAGGTGAGTGTGTGAGTGAGTGTATGAGTGAGGGTGAGGTCAGGGCCCTCTCCTCTCCTCTCTTCCCCGGGGTAAGGTGAAATCAGATGATAAGAAAGGGGGAAATCTCACCTTACGTTCATGGCCAGGAGTGGTGCCGCTATCCATGACGTGCACGATGCGCCGGATGATCTTGAAGTGAAAGTTAGATTGGGTGAGATCAAAGTTATGGGTTTATGGAGCCGGTGATTCGTATCATGGGTTGATTGGGGGTTGAGGCTTGGAAGAGTGTGGGCTGGGCTTACCTCGGTCAGTCTGTCTTTGAGGGCCCTGCGCGCTTCCTCGTAGATCTCATTGCCCATGCGATAAACGCCACCGCGGCGGGCGAGGCGGCTAAGATGGGAGTGGGTTAGTTTGTGGTTTGGCCCAGGGTAATTGGATTGTCTCAAGGTTTCAAGGTTTCAAGACTAGCTTGGGTGATTGGATGCTGCTGAGCAAGCTGAGACTCGTGTTGCGGTTGCAAGGTAAGAAAGAGGAGGATGCATACCGGATCGCCGGACGAGCTGAGTTCTGTTAGTTTGGAGGTCTCATCTTGTAACTTGCAGCAAGAGAAAACTTACTAACACCCTGGATATTGTCTCGAGCCAACTTACTGTGACGTTGAGAGTGAGGTTAGTGGCCGTTTAGCTGGGGATTGGCACTGGCTGTACTGTAGACAACTACAGCAGCTAGAGTTGAAGACAGAAGCAAGCAAGGCGAAGACATAAAGCATACCGGAATCGGCGACGGGGCATAAATGCCCGATGCTTACTTTCTGCCAGGCGATTAACATCCATCTTGAATAATGGCAGACGTGATCTTGACTAGCAGGGGTGATGTGAAGGAAATGCTTTCGGGGGTTTGGACTAAGAGGATGTGAACAACAACAACAACAACAACAACATGAGGGTGAAGATGAAGTTGAAGATCTACAGCGAGGAGAAATCTGGTGAAGTGTTGTGCTGCGATGATTATGTCGTCGAGGGGAAGTCTCGGCGTTGCCCCCAAACCCCCCATACTGAAACGCAAGGGAACACGCTGGAAAACGGTAACACAGGACATAACATTAAATATCGTGGTAAGTTTATAGGCTATTAGAATCAATATCACGTTGCAGTGCGTATGGATGCATGAAAGGGGAGCGTGAATTCAACACCACTCAAACGCCGGGACGATGTCCGCAACAGGTCCTCCCTCTATGAGATAAAAGTCGCCTCAGAGAACAAAGTACCCTCTTCGGTGATTTCTTCATCGCCGATCTTCAGCTTCAACGATAGCTTCTCTTGGGGAGAGTACTGCAGATCGATTAGTTTTAACTCCACATTAACTCGTTGACTTCAAGCTCGGATACGTACCTGGAAGATGTACGGCCGGGTACCGGCGACACTGCCAGCAATGGTCTTGATAAAGCCCGGAACCTCCGCCATCACATCGATCCGGTCCAGGCGGTTGCCCAGAGCTCCATCGACCTCAGCATGAACCTCCTTGCCATCCTTGGACTTGCCCTCCCAGACCCACTTGACGGACTTCGGCTCGGGCCAGTCGCTCTCGGCATCCTGGTTCGATTCCGTGTGGGTGGCGGTGTTGGTGCTACCAGCATAGACGATCTCTCCGTCCTTGACAATACCGCCAACGTTGACAACAGTGGATCCGTATGAGGGAGGAGTGGTGTATTCCATCATGATGGCCGAGTAGGTAGGGGTCTGGAAGTTGAGGAAGTTCCATCTCGCAGCTATGTCCTGTCAGCAGGGTCCATGGACAACCCGAGATCCGACCTACCCGCGTGGTGGGGCTTCATGCCCTGGAGCGCGTGGATGAACAAACCGCGACCCTTAAGGTCGAAGTTCTGCTCCTTGGTGGTGATGGTTCCCTCCACGGCGCAACGAGGCCAGAAGGCGTGGCTCATCGAGCCCCAGGGGTTCTGCGCATCTGTGCCGAAGTATGAAGTGCCGTCTTTGCCGACAACAAAGCCCGGAGCAGTGCGCTTAAAGGTCAAGTTCACCAGACTGTCCTCATTCACCGCCGACTTGATAGTATAGATATCGCCTTCCTCATTCAGCGTCACGGCGAGGTTGTCGGCGCCAAAGGAAAGCATGCTCTCATCGAACATGAAGTTGGAGAGCGGGTCGGAGTGCCAATTGTGGGGAGCGTCACCCTTGAGATTGAAGATCTTGGAAGTGAACTGGGCGGTAGTATGAATTCCACTGGTACGAGCACATCCCCAGGTCAGTGATGCAGCTACCGAAAGAGATCCGTCCAAACTCACACAATGTTGCTGTAGATGACCTGGCACAATGCTAGGGTACCATTGTCGCCCATGACATAGAAGACATGGGTCTCGACGTTGGTATATTGGTGAGCCCGCCAACGGAGATCATCCTTGGTGAGTTCGGTGTAAGGGGTTTCTTGCGCCTGTTGGGCAACCGATCTGATAGCCTCCGGGCCATAGATCGGCTCCTGAGTGCCAGCAACACTCGCGAGACTATGGGAGGTAGTCAGTAAATGTGGCGATGCTGTGGCTATCAGCCGCTATAGTCACAGGCCAGCAACTTACGTAGACTTGAGCCAGTTCATGGTGAGCTGTGTTTGTATGAGTAAAAGAGGGGGGGATCTGTGTAAGAGAGATGAAGCAGCACAAGCGGTGGGGGGAGAAAAGTAGCAGGAGGATTGGAAGGTGGGCGGGAACTGGAAATCGATAGCGGGCGGGGCCCAAAAGGGTCGATCACCGTCTGGGTCCCGAGAGGTACTTGTGAGAGTTGGGTGAGGGACGAAGTGGTCAGAACTGCCTGATATCTCGTGTACAAGTGATGATTAGCTGGTGCCAGTTACTATAAGGTATACCAGCACTGAGAGCCAGGCGAAATACAAAGAACGAGGATCAAGCGGTTCATAGATTGTCGAAGGTACGAAGAATGACGTCCGCATTGAAAGTCGGGATGCTTTCGCTTGTTGCCCAAACGGCAAGAAACTCCGGCCTCCGCCGCGCCCTTTCCCGTTTGGGAATCCCAGGAAAAGTTCCAGTTCTCAATGCCGCATTCCATCGGGTCCGCCGCGAAAGTGTTAGATTGTTGACTTCCTGTGCAGCTTGTCAATTGCCCCCTCTTCTCAGTCTCAGATATCTGTCATTCACTTCCGCTAGTCTCTCATCATGGCGAAGAAGGCATTGCCCAAGGATCAGATTGTGAAGCTGATCGTGGGAGCTGGCCAGGCCAGCCCCAGTCCTCCCGTCGGTCCGGCCCTGGGTAGTAAGGGTGTGAAGAGTATGGATTTCTGTAAGGTGAGTTGGATGTCCACATTGAATCGATTACAATAGATCCTTTCGGTTGCTCTACCGGCTGCAAATCTGGTGCCCGAAAGAAAGGGTACACATGGCTCACGACAACCACTATACAGGAGTTCAACGCCCGCACTGCGCACATCAACACCGGTGTCCCTATCCCGGCCCTCGTCACTGTCCGTCCCGACCGTTCGTTCCTGTTTGACCTCCGAACCCCGACCACGACCTATTTGCTCCTGCAAGCCGCCAACGTCGAGCCGCGCAAGAACCGCATCCGCGGGGCCCAGAACCCCGGCCACGAGATTGTGGGCAAGGTCTCTCTCAAGCACATCTACGAAATCGCCAAGATCAAGCACACCGAGACGCGACTGTCCGGTCTGAGCCTGCAGGGCATGTGCAAGAGTGTCATCGCCCAGGCCAAGTCGATCGGAGTGGAGGTGGTGCCGTGAACGGCGGACGGGGGAAGTCGACTGTATCTGTATTGTATATGGGATCCTTGTTACCGGGCGATTACTGCTGCTAGCTGTCTGGGACTGATGATCATGGCGTTCTTGGGGGACTGGGTCTGTTGTCATTTGTATTAATAGGCATTGCATGTGATATAGAAAGCGTTGGCTGGTGCCTGAAGCGTTCTACACAAACAACCTCGATCCTGCTTTGCAGAGCGTAAGAGACCGTCTATCCTCGCCGATGTTGCAGGTCTAGTAGGGGGTCGGTCTTGGCTCAAGCAAAGCGACTCCTCCGTGTCACCCGCACGACTGCCACTGTCACCATGCCAAGCTCCTTCCGCCGTCCATCGAGCAACCTGAGGGCGGAAGCGGAGACAGCAGGAGGCGAGAGTGCGAGTCGCAAGGAGCCAAGAGGCGGACAATGACTGCAGCAGGTGTGAGGAGGCACGAAATGGTCATCCCCCATTTCTGCCGAGCCAGGCCAAGACAAGGAGGGTACGCAAAGTGTAGCAATCCGTTCGACGATCATTGCGATCGCCTGGGATACAGCGAGCGGACCTGGTCACTTTTGAGGGGGCAGTGCAAGTTGTTCCAGGCTGGGCTCAAGCGCTTGGGCTTGGCAAGGGCGGAAATAGCCCATGTCTGTTGCTTTCTATGCGAGTTTGGGTGATAATGCTATGCTTGGCAGTCTACAAGGGGGATTGCGGAGATGCGTCAGAGTGAGTCGATCACATTCCTCTGCCTCTATTTCCGGCGGCGTTGCAGCTCCTTTGTTCTCCGCATTTTCTGGTTTGACATAATCTGGGCGGCGATCGCACTCTAATCGTCCCTGGGTAGTAGACTGGTCTCGTTACCGCTTCAAGGGCTGGACTGTTGATTGGGATCAAGGGAGCAGACCTGTTTGTGATAGTGCCTTGATTAGGGAAGGCCAAGGATGGAGATCGACATGTTGGTTTTCTGAGATCTATCCAGAGGATGCAGGTGTTGCAGCAACTCGAATAAGTCCTGTTGATATTTGATCAAGAGTAGTGAGAGGGCTTTCAGCCTTACCGTAATCTACCAAAGTTTTGGTGATGGATGCACCTTGGTCATCGACTAGAGGATAGATGGGGATATTATAGCCTAAAAGGATTCGCAACGACAGGGGTTTAATTACTGTTGATTCCCCTGTTGACGCGGACAAATCAATGCCGGCCTTGTCTCTCAGGCTGCCGTTTAGCAGCAGCAGCAGCAGCAGCATCCCCGCTCCAATTCATCTAGTTCTCTTTGACCGGCGTTTTGTGCTGTCATCCTTGTTACAGAGATATTCACACGAGATGTGCAGACTTTAATCTTTCTCAATTATATAGTGATGTCGGAGGGGAAAGAAAACAGAGGATAAATACGTTCCAGCTAGGGCTGCCAGTTCAAGCTCTGACATGGGATTGTATGGACTCAGATACGATGGATACGGAGCAGTGGAGACGGGTTAGTATGGTTCATTCCGGCGGGGTGGACCGGTCAAATAATAATGTGCATGGCAGGGAAGGGGCTGGTTTTAAGTCCACGCCAGTCAAGATCCAGAAGAATCTAGCGGGGTATCTACGGAGTACTATGTATGATGATGATGATGATGATGATGAGTACATCAACCGGCAACTCGGCACCAGTCATTCAAGAAGTGATTGGAACCATTAGCAGCTGACTGCCAACTCCGGCCAGATGACACTTCCTTCCCTTGCCCTTCCTCTCTGATAACAAGATGATGTCGACATCCCAGAGTTCATCCGGTGACCCCAAGAATCGATTGATTTTTATGGTTCCCTCCGCAGAATCCCGAACCCAGAGCAAGAGCCGGTCGGTCTCTGCCTGGCCAATCTTCTCCGCACGGGGTCGCTGATCGCCTTACGACGAGGATGATGGGGATAGAGAGAATAAGTAGGAGAAGTTGGTGAACCGTGCATGGAGGCGCAACTCATTCCCTCTCATAATAGATTCCCCCTTTGGGGATTTCCGAATTCTAGAACCCGGAACCGGCTGGAGAGGAAGAGATTCCCGGGCAACTTTCCCATTGCAGCCAGAAGAGCTTTTC